CACCCTGCAACTTGTCACAGCATCTTCGTGCCAGCCTTTGCTTTTGTCTCACACAGGCAGATGACTCTAGCCTCCACCCTGAGCAGTCAGAACTCTCACCAAAGTTGCTTACGATCGCGGCTTCTCCTGGCAGGCGGAATCAGGTGGACAATGCACCAAGTAAGATTAATAAATCCTAATCCCTATAAACCTCTATATAACTCCAGTTTCCATTTCATTTTCCATTTTCTTTTCCGTTTGATTCTCCTTTAGTGGGGTAATATCCCTATATCCCCCCTAAACCGGTTAGCATGTCAACTTGGCCTTCTTGTTCTTGTACCAGGCACCCAGGCCGCAGCCTGCAACTTGGCGGAGCATCAGCAATGCTAGAAGCTCACACCCTTGCAGGCTGCCGATCCCTCCTTCACTACCTTGAAGCGGACACCGAGACTCTGGATTTGGGAGCCCAATGTGCCTGTAGATTGTAGCTACTGATGTGGCATTGGCCAAGTAACTGTACGTGCAAAACTGCTGCCCTGGCCTTTGGACATGCGCCTCATCGCGCCAGCTAGCCATGAATCACAACCTCATGATCCTCACATATTAATCTTCAACTTTCTGGATCTTGGCTCCGGAGCGACTGTCTTCATGCAGAACACTGACACCCAGCCCTCAAATGAAGGTTAGCTGAAATTCTCTGGAATGTGGACTGTCTGAGCTGCTGCAGGCTACCACCATCAGTTCCCAAGCTCCAACGGCTGCAGGCAAATAGTGTCCCTTCCATGACAAGATTTGTCGAAACCATCATAAGACAAGCTCACTGGATGAAAGCATCGTGTAAACTTCCGCCTTGGAGAAATGAGTGCCAAGTGTCCTTTTTGCTTCCTGCACCATGCGCTGTGTCACTTGAGTGGATAGCTGCCACTGGCAGCCGTCCGATTCTCTGTCCTGCGCAGGTGGGGCTTGCACCCCTCGCCACCAAGCCATTCAGATAAAGTCCTGCGACGAGATGAGAAGCAAAAGTGCCAGCAAGTGTTTCGGTAGTAGGGCAAGGGGTCTGCTTGCGAAGGTACACAAATTGGAGCTCGCAAACTACTGGCACTCAAGCTCCTGTTGCGGCTGCTTGATTGTGTCAAAGACCCAGCAGCTCGAATCCTGTCAAACTCACACCGCCATTCGCTATTGTAGTTTCTGCTGAATGCCTTCACTCTCGCTTCTGCTTCTTGAGGCGCAGGTACTCCTTGTAGGTGTTGGGACCTTCATAGGCGCCTGAAGCATGCTGCCATGTTCGAAGACGACATGACTTTATGAATCGCATCGATGAGGGAGCAGCGAACCTGGAACGTGTTAGCTTAGACTAAGACTACGTCGACGCTCTCCCCCCTTATATAATCTATGTGCCCGCGCCAATTACCCACATCAATGGAATGCACTATTGATCGCAGTGTTTTCGCGTCATGGATGTGGTAGGTCCCGACATTTACGGGTGCCGGCATGATTCACTTGTCGTGGTCGTGCACGTTATTATGGGTCCCAGCATGCACTTGATATGCCATAGCAGTTCCTGCGGTTGTGGACATTTTCCTACCACTGTGGATGCGGGCTGCGGGCCAAAAGGGCGGGGGGAAAGGGGGAGGAGGATTCAAGACTAGCTATGATTGTGCAATTTTATTCCAGACGATAAAAAAACAGCTTGTGCCGTTTCTCTCGAGCTGCGGACTGTGCGCCAAGCATTCATCATCTCATCTCGACCACCGCCTGGATTTGCAGAGTAAAAGTCGCGAGTGAACTGATTGTACTCGAACTGCTTGCCAATCTGCTGCTTGCCCTGACTTCGTTGATCTTCTGCATCTCTCCAACCTTTGATAAGGTCCCCATATGTCAGCTCCTTGCCTCCTGGGACACCCTTGCTGAAGCTTCGGAGGTACTCATTGAAGCGGAAGTCCTTGCCGCAGTGCTTCCGAAAGAAATCCCGAGTGATCGCATCACTGTTGTAGTTCTGCACTGGGGTGGTAAGCTTCAACCCTCCTGCCACGGAACTGTCACGAGGCCCGCTATTGCGCTTGGCTTTTGCTGCTGTTTTCTGAAGATGCCCACTGAGGAAATCCTTGATTCGCTGCGTCAGGTCGGCTTTCACACCGCTCGTGGAAAGGCCTTGTTCCCGACAAAAGGCGGCCAACTCCTTCACTTCCCAATAGCAGTTGCCAAAGACCTTCGGGTCCAGCTTGGCAGTGAGGTTTGGCCGCTTGCTAGGCATGGTCAGGGTGGGCGGAGCGCAAAGACCTGCAGGCGGATTGAAGTTGCCGTGCTGTGCACACTGAGCTTGTCTGGGCTCCTTTGCACTGTAGCTATGCACACAGTGCTTGTTTCTTCATTGTGGTCGCTGGCACGCTCAAATTGTTTGCAGGGTGTTGGTTCTGATGACCCACTATGTCTACCCGGCTACCACACGAAGTATGCCCAAGCGTCTGGGCGACGAATGCATATCCATTGAGACAAGGTGACAAGGCAAGTTAAGTTCAGACATGCTGAAAAGCATCTGTCAGCGACAACAACTTCACATCATCGCAAATTGACGGGAGACAGCAACAGTTTGCCCATGCATGCTCACCTGCGCTGTCGCCGCACAAGCTTACCCCACTGAAAACACGCACACTGTCAGTCTGCCTAGAAGAAGCAGGCGCGGGATTGCAGGCGCAAATCTGCACACACGCCTGACGGGACATCTCAAATTGCGCAAGCAACGATGAAAACTTCGAGAGGCCCCTTTTCCGCAACAGGGGCAACAAAAGCGATGCGCATTATCTGATAAACATATGCCTGGGCATGCCTGGGCCGTGTAGCAGCATGACCCAGCATTTTGCTTATCTTTTTCCACCTTTTTCCAATCAAGTACCCCTACTGGATCCCGAGAATGAAGACCAGTGCGCTTTGTGATGCGTTTGTGAGAGGTCTGCAGCAAAACACTAGATAACGTCAGGTACATCAGCATTACTACATAATATGTACGCACGTGTATATATGTATATATGCTTTACTTACAACCAGGTCCGGAATCATTCCTCTGCTTTTTCAGATGGACATTTATCATCAGATTTAAAATGCCGAATCCAGAACCAGCCCTCCCGAAATCAAAAAGCCTTCAATGTGCATTGGCGCTATCAAACATGTTGTTCTGCACTCCCGTACTACGGAAGATCCCGATGTTCATTTCTTGTAGAGGAATCGCACGATCTTGGGTTGGAGCCATTAAAAAAGAAGAAAAGCCAATGTTGGAGATGGCAGATTCACAGAAGGCGCTTCTTACAATCAAATATCTTCAAGCTTCAATTCAAAGCTTTAGAAGCCCAAACTGGGCTGAACTCACAACTTTATGCATCCACGGCCTCATGCAATCGGCCAACAAATGTCTACCATTGGAGTTTGAGCCATAAGCCGTCATGCATTGTCGCGCACAGCCTGGCGTTGTGTCACTCGATTTAAAAGGCATCTACCTCGGCTTCGTCCTGAACAACACTTGCTGTAAACAAACCTGCTGACAACTGCTGACCTAGAATCCCCATCTCGCTTCTAGGGCTTAGCTTCGATCCAGACTCGCCCCGGTAAGAGTGGAGCGCTGGCCGCGCTGATGCTTTTACACTGCACATGGCATGTCGATGTTGAAGGCTGCGCTTCGGATCCTGAGCTTGTGCAATCCGTCTGAGCAGCCATAGTATATCTAGCTAAAGATCGGTCGACAGCTGAGCTGTCGACTCTTTAGCTCGTTAATTGGCTGTACATTGCTCAGTGCTGGTTACTGAGCTGAATTCGCAGAGAGACCTGTCAATGTCCTTTGATGTGACTGCATCTGGATTGTATCGTTTCTTGGTGATGCATCATGGTCAAATCTGCCACATGCAGCCTGTACACAAGTTACTACCGCGGCTTGCAGGCAGTAACCCAAATTTTGAGGACTTGGCAGCGCTCGGGATGGCTCCTAACCGTTCAAGCACGACACGAGGAACAATCTGCTACCCTCACTCCTGCCGATTCGTGGTTGCATGCGTTCATGAATCCTCTAGGCTGCCGTGAGCATTTTCTTTTTGTGTCCCGGACATGTCACACGGGTCCGTGAAGAGCCTGTGGAAATTGTCCTGCAACCTTCGGTTGAATTTTGTCAGTAAAGGCCATTTCTCTCCGGAAAGATTGCGCACGAACCTGAGGCATGTTTTGCACCATTTGCACCTATTCGTCAAATAACTTCCCCTCGATGGCAGATGCGGTCCAGCATGCGGTCGGGGCGGTTGCCCAGTAAAAAAGAGCAGACGGCAAGCTTTTTCCAGTTCATTGTGCTGTCCAGGGTTGCGTCCAGTAGCTGTTGGGGTCTTTGCTAGTGTAGTTTCGACGTCTCTGTGCAAATACAAAGCGAGTCATGCTGTAAATTGTGTTTCGACAATATGTTTTCTTTCTGCGGACCTCTACCTAATCAATCAGGAAAGGCATGCCAACCATCCGAAAACGCTGATGCTCCAGCATGGCTTGCAAGCATGCTACACACAGAAAGTAGCGAATGCATTATCAAATGTGCTAGGCTGTCAATGCATAGTCATGCTCGCAAGTCATTGCGCTGGACATGCTTGCTTAACGATGACTTGCAGGCATTTTTCGTTCAACATCGGGCTTCAAGTACACTAATACTTTTGGGGACGCTTGGAAGCTGAACTGCTGTTAGCTTGGCAGCATGAAGGCTTGGGATGCCCTGTTCTGCAATGAGCTTGTAAAATCTGTCAAAGTATGCCACGACGACAGCAACTCGTGGGCCAAGCCTGGCAAGGCACGTCAATTTGCAAAGCTGGACAAGCTGGCACCTGGAATTGGATAACCACGTAAAGTATGTATCTCCACTATCTCAGTTGTCTGTTGATCCAGGTGGGACAGCCGCCAGTGTCCTCTCATGGGCCTCAAAAGGCCAATTAAGGCGTCAGGGGCAGAAGCGGCCCACTTTCACCAAGATCGAGCCCAGCAGCCCTTAAGTGATGATGTCATGTGAGCTGTCGCGGCTGGCTACTTGCCTGCCTGCCTGATCCTGCGGAAAGAATCAACTGTGTGAGGCTATGGATAGTGGAGCTTTGCAGCACAGCTGCCTCTACTTCCACACCCATCTCACGTGCGACTGCACGGGCAAAGTCTGCAGCAAAGAGCGAGTCCATGCCAAGCTCTGCAAAGCTGACATCAGCTTCCACACGAAATTGGGTGTCTCCGCTCGCAAGGGTCCGCTGAATCAGCTTCAGCAGTGCAGCTGACACGTCCTCCTCTGATGCGCCATGCTCCTGCAATAAATCAAGCAGCTGCGAATATGGGGCCTTTCATCTTCAACGTATTCACACTCCCGGCCTGCAGCGGGGTAGAGACCTGAACTCTGTTGCCAGCGTAGAGCAAATCATTCGCCCTGTCTGTTTCCGGCATCAGGACAGGATGTCCTCCTGAAAGGAGCTCCTTGACCAGACAATTGCACAACACTAAAACAGAAAAAGGAAGGAATCTGACTGACTTTTTGGGAACACAATTTTCTTTTGCCGCTGCTGCATATGCTAAATTTCAATGCTGTCCTGTGGCGTCGTTGACCCAGTCGCCACATTACGTGCAAGTGGTTCGCGGGCAAGCTGCTGCGATGGCGTAGCGTCGGACTCAGCTGAGATGGATCCCTCTGCCCACTGCAGCATGTGCTGCACGGAGAGGCTCTGTTGCTGTTGCTGCTGCGGCTGCTGTGCTGTCGGAATCGCCTGCCTTGCTGCCTGAGACTCAGTCGGCTTTGGTGTCTGCAGTATAGAGCCCATTGGAATCTCATCAAACTTGGGATCTAGCGGAAAGCCCTGCAACACCGGAAGACCTCGCAGTCGGCGATCTATCGGCAGATCGGTGGTCTTGTTGTGCTTGGTATACTTGACCCAGTCTATTGGGCAAATGGCGACTTGAATCAGCCCCAAACTCCCACACATTCCAAGAACTTGCCGCAAAGATGCCAAAGCCTCAGAGCTTGTGAAAAAGCCCGGGACAGATCCACCAATAGGACGATTAGCAAGGCCCAGTTGTTAAAACATGGAGAAGGCTTTGGCTCAAGCGCAATCCTTCTGCTGACATGCTGCAAAGGGTGAAGTGCTGCAAGACATACTGCACAGCACTCTTGAAGTTTTCCACTACCAACATCCCAGTCTGTCTGCGCACAAAGTGGACCCCTGAAATCACCAACAACCCTGGACACATTGAACATCCAAGGTACCTCTTGATTACCCATGGCTCGGATGCCCTGCCTCCGTCCCAGCTCTAGAGCTCGCTTAGCAGAGCCAACATCCATCCAGAGACCCCAGTTGATTGACAAGGAGGGGCGTCCAGCCAGGGTTCGCTCATGAGCCGAGGCATCTTCAAAAGCGTTGGCTGCCGAATGATTGATCTGGCCAGGGAAGGGGAAGAGAGAAGCCATGGAAGAGAAAAGCACAAACGTCTTCGCATCTTCTGCCGCGAAATCGTGTAGGTGCTGAGTCCCGTACACTTTAGGCTTAAGCGGCGCTGCAAACTTGTCCCAGTTCAAATCTGCTAGCCATGCATCACTCAGGACACCAGCCAAATTGAAAATGCCAGCATGAGGGCCGATCTTCTGCTTCAGCTCTTTCATAGCAGTAGCATCGCTAATGTCCACGCTCTGATATTTGATCTCTGCAGGCATTTCACCTTGCGAGTGTGGGGCGGTGCGGCCCAACACGGTGATGGAACTTGCTCCCTGCTGGACGAGAAACTTCACAACCTCTCCTCCCAGGCCACCTGCCCCACCTGCCACCAGACAACTCATCGAGCCCATGTTGAGCCCAGAAACTGGTGGTGTTTGTTGGCATTCTTTGGCTTGCATAATGCGCGCCTCCAACACGCAATGTTGCCGGATTACCACCTCTTGAGGCTCGGCATGCTGCCCCATCAAGAGCTCGAAAGCTGCTCTTGCTGAAGTTTCGGATGCGCGCATGTTGGGATCAAGGTCGAGCATGCAAACTCGTTGCCGCAGCCTTAGATTTCATGACATTGAAGGATGAAATCTTGGACCGCTGCAGAACCTTCAAATCTGGAGGAGTTGAATGGTGTCTTGCGCCTTGCGAACCCTCTGCGCAACTGCACCTTACTAGCATGGCTCAAGTTTCATGTCCCATCAACAGCAACAGACACAAGAGTCAACATGCGTTTGGATCCCCTTAAAGAATCCAGGGGAGGGTCGAGCATCCGCTCTACAGAAAAGCCCGTCTTTACAATGGGATGCCCACCTCTGTCATGAAAGCTTGTCTCTAAGAGATGGGATGCTGGGACTCTCTTGCCATGTCAAAACGAGCTGCAAGGAAACCAATGAAGGAAGTGACCGGACCACGATACCTCTTCAACACATGATGAACGGTCAGTATCTTGAATACCACAGCAGCTGCGCTTGTAAAATGACATGGGGAGGTAAACGTCACTTCGGCAGTTACCCTAAGTCCTCAGCATCAGACAGCAAAATCGGACCATTCATTCTCCGTAGAATGACGTGGAGGGTTTGGAATGCCAACCTATATTTTTTTTGGAGGACTATGAGAAGGGGATGCTTTTGGTTGCAAATGGTTGCAACCTCTGCTCGTGGGTTCAGGATGAGCACGCTACCTCTTTGGAATCCTCGGGCGCAACAACCCAAAAACATCCCAAAAACATCCCAAAACAACCTCCCGACATTTCCCGACGCAAGTGAAAGCACAGCGTTGACCGAGACCGCCCTTGCGTGCCCCATGCCCTCCCTTCGCTCGCTGTCTTTGGCGCTCGACGGCATGTAGTTGACAGAAGTCATCAAAGTGGGCTAGGTCTGCAGGTGCGCGAGGGCTCACACATGTGAAAAAGGCGTGCAATTCCTGCATCTAGCGATGATCGTCTTCGCGAAAAAAATGCTCGTGAAACTTGTGCGGACCCATCGACGCGCACGCTTGTGACAGCTAGCTGCTAGCTCCTGTAGCAGCCCAGCACTACAATGACTATGCAAAAGCCCCTCTCTGTGCCGAACCCTGCTCTACATATGTGAATCGGAACCATTCAACCTGCACCCAGAATATTGCTGAGACCTTATCGCCTAGACCTGCGCGAATGAGAAGGTCGGGCCTGGTTCCAACTTCAGCTTATGCCCAGAAAAGGTCGGTTGGAAAAGTCAGATTTTCACCATCCTAACCATCAGCACACACACACACACACATCTACTGTGCGCCGAGAAATGGTACGAAATCGTAACCTCTCCTTACGCTGTGGACTTACAAAGAACTTTCACACAAGTTTTTTCGTGCAAACTTTCGTAGCGCGTCTGGATTGGCACCATGACTTGTAAAGCCCGAAGCATTCTTGACGTGGATAAGCTTCCGTCCATCTTGCCACGATTTTAAAAGGAGAACAGGATTAAAGCCGAACGTTTCAAAAAGGTAGTGCCTCTCTTCGAAAACACGAATCCCAGCCATGGCTCTCAGAGACCTTCATATCCACAGCCTGGCAGAGCTGCGAGCCTACACAGAGTGCGTCAGTTGGGTTGCCAAAAAACGTTCGCGAGATTCAAGCCCTTTCGCGGTGCCATCTTTTGCGAAGACATACCTTCCTCCTCTTGCAGTCCATCCATAAAAGCTTTCCTACAAGGACGTTTAGATCAACTCTCATCTGGACAGGTTGGCGAGGGCATAAGCTGATATGGCTTGATGTCGACGGGCAGCCGAAAGTTTGTTCCTGATGTCTTGTTCCGTTTTTCTGGCTCCACAGGGGTGAGGAAATTCAGGATCCTTGAAATACTGCCATTTTTGGAGTGTAGTCTATGTCAAGTGGTGCAAGAGTTCCCACTGTGGCGACCGTCGCGCATGAAGCCAGCTCCGACAAATGACCGAAGTCTTGGACCATTTCAATTTGCGTAAGGCTCAATGTAAGAAGAGAGGGGCGGTGACATGGCTTGTCATCCTGTAACAGCACCGGGTCACAAGCCGAGATGGCACACATCCCTGTTTGCGGCAAAGCTTTGTAGGCATTTATTATCATTTATTGACAGACTTGTCCTAGGAGGGGATGTTACTTACGAATACCAATGTTCAGTGTAAGTGTATAAGACTTACATCAGCCTTCATAAGTCCCTTTCTGTGGCTGGCCACCAATGCTTCCAAAACTGTGGGAAACCCAGCAGGCTTGAAAGAGAAAATCTGATGTTCCCCGTTCTCGTGGTCTTGTTCTTGCCATCAACTCCTCAAACACTACTTTTTGATTTCAGTGATGGTGCATGGCGCCAGCCAGCGCCAAAGATCAAATTCTTGCACCGGTTCAATAAGGCTCCATGTAAGAGGGGTTCGTGTCACGCGTTTGTATGGTTTGTAATATTTGTCGGAATAGGGGAAGTGCAATCCACAGCAATGAAGTTGGAAGAAACCAAACAAGCATCCGTATCAGCACCGCTTGCTTGAGGCCAGGCTTGTCTTCAACTGTTCGTGCAAGTTTGGGGAGGAGCCCCTCCTCAGCACGCGCACGTGTCTCAAAAGCAAGTGATGCATAATTTCTTTTCACTTCGGTCAGCATCATCAACGGTACCAGGCCTCTCCAAGCGTGCTGAAGCCCCAAAACAAGCAAACGCTGTCGATACCAGCATGCAAGCCTCAGAATAGGTGATGGGAGTCTGGATGGCACGTACGGGTGATGCTGCTCAAAGATCTGGGCTTTTTGTAGCTTCTCTGTCGGTTTCTGAGCAGCTACACTTGGGAGGCCTCGACTATTCTTGCAGAATATCATGTTGATGGTTGCCAGGGCGTTAAGCTCGAAAATCGTCCAACAAATTGCCCGTTTTCTTCCCGACAAACAGTACAGCACCTTGTTTGGGGCTGAGTGATTGCTTTGGAGGTTTGGATGACTTTGTAGAGGTTTGGAGGATTTCTTTTGGTCGCTGTTTACCAAGCTGTTTAAGAGTTTCGCGCGATGACCGATGAAGTGCCCACCTCCGTGCCAGGGCTTGCACCGCCCACCCCAAAGCCAGCAGCACTAGAATGCACAGGGTGTGGAGACAGCCAAGTCACTTGGGGTCAATCCCTCGTGCTTGTCCCCAAAGTACTGCTTGGTGTGAGTTGATGGCTGTCTCGCGGCCTGTGGAAACTGCCCCTTGCGTCACCACCAAAAGCTTTGCATGAGGGTACAGCTTCTCGAGTGATTGGAAAACGCGTAGTAGAGCACCACTGGCACGTCTGTGGTATACCGGCATCCTTTCTGAGGGCATGCTGTGAAGGGACGTGTCCTTCTCATGACCTTGGAGGAAAATCACGCCACGAAGCACTCCACGTTGGTCTCGAAGGATTTTGTCCCAGGCCTTCGGAGCACGTCTACCAAAGTGTGTTGTGCTCTTTCTAGGAATCCAAGATCCGCTACAAACCAGCCCATACATGCCTATGCTTGCGTACGTGGTGCGTGCTTCAGTGGAGCTAATAGTCTAGAAGCCCTGGTCCCAGCCTCAGACTCCACGACGTCTTCACCAGCTCGCTTCAGCACCTGCGACAAGTGTCTTGAAAACTCCTGGAGCTTGTCGATCGGCGGCAAGAGCAACCAGAATGGCTTCTTGCTCAAGTCTCGCATGCTGTGATCTTGCAGGTGGACAGGCCGTGGAGCCCCAGCGGTATCCACTGCTCTTGCCAGTATCACTGCCTGGGTAGCTCCAGCTGCAAAGGCAGGCTCAAAGCCACAAGCCGCAAGTTTCACCTTCCAGGTCTCAATGGGCAGCAGGGGAGAACCCTGCCTATCTTGGAACTGCCACCATTCCGGAAGCAATCCAAAAGTCAGATCGAGCCACAGATCCTGCTTCACTGTTTCGGACAGAACGAGCACAGCATTTGGTGCGCAAAGGCGCCAGACGTGGTGGAGAGTTGTCTCCAGACTCTTGGTGGCATGCAGCACATTCGTACAAACCACAATGTTGAATGAGTGTGGGACGAAGCCTTGGGAGGCCGGGTCCTTTTGAATGTCAAGTAGCCTGGTTGACACTCCAAGCTCCTTGGCAGCGCTGAGGAAACGCTTGGACAAATCAGTGAAGACATAATTCTGCAATGGAAACGCCAAACCCCGTCTGGCAACATCTTGCAGGATTGCCCGTGCTGTGGCGCCCGTACCAGCCCCGATCTCCAGGACCTTGGTGCGCTGCGGTGCAACTGCCAGCATGGCGGAGACCTGCTGACCCATCTGGCGATTGGCTGCCTTCGAGCTGATACCATCAGAATAAACTTGCTCTGCCAATGGGAAGAGCAGTTTGTGTGGCTCAAGGGCAGCTTGCTGTTTAAGCAGCCCATCACCGCATTTGCACAAGAGAGCTTTCTCAGGGCAAGAGGGGAGGCTTTGGGATCGACGAAGGATCTGGTTTGTAGCTTCCTGCTGCAAGTTCAGCATGCGCACATCACTTGAAGGATGTCTATATGCTTTCGCCAGGGGATCGCTGGATCGTGCAAGTGTAGCTTGGAGCTTCTCGCGGAGCTTGAAATGTCCATTTAGCCTTCCACTGAGCATAGCCGGAACAGCGTAGGCGAGCGCAAGATCATTGAGCTTGCTGGTTTGCTGCAACTCCGCCTGATCATGGAGTTTGTCGACCTTCATGGAACTGAAGTCGAGCGCTCCAAGATTCTTCTGCTCCTCGTCCGTCAGGCCCAGGAGCGCAGAGTTCGCTGGCAT